TGTAGACCAAATCAAATAATCTTCAACACCATCATTATCATCCAAAGCACTGGTCCCGGATGTTGAAACTGAACTTGAAGGAATATTTGCATCTACAGCAGAAGAAGCATCAACAATATTAGCATAATAATTATATAATATTTCTAAATGTTTGTGTAGATCAGAAATACAAGTGTCAATATCAGGAGTTTCAGTTGGTCCATTAAAAAAACGTTAAAAAACGGACTGAACCGGGTTGTAGCTCGTTAACAAACCGTTAACGGGTTAACGGGCTTAGCGGGTTCCGGTGCACCGGTATCAAAAAACTGTTCGTTTGAAATCCGCTCCCCGTCCAACCCATCCCAGCCCGCCTCTCATTCTACAGTATCGGGCTGAATCGGGCTGTAAACGGGTCAGCCCGGCCAGATTAACGGGTATAGTTTTCTTTCTTCGTATCTTCCCTCTTGGTTTTAAATGAATATCTTGGATTATGGACCACTTCAAATCACCATTGTGACTTCCCATTCGAAGATTGGCTCCATGTGATTTCACGTGCCCATTCTATTACGATCTGTTTTCCCAAGTTACAACCCTCTCTAAATGCCTGGATTCGTAATCACTTTTTCCTTTTTTTAATTAGTAGTAATGTTTTTCCAACTGGCAAAGTATAGTTGACGTTTAGGAAATCAAGAATGTGATCTCGTGGTCTGATAAATATTAGAGGAGAACAATATTTAAATTTCAGCAGAGATTCTTTTTTTTTTTTGGTGGTGGTTTTATCCTATTTTTCTATGTTTTGATGGGTTAAGATTGGAGAGTTACTTAGTATTTGTACTGAGAGAATACATATAGCATGTACCTAATGAAATAGTCGAGATACACATGGCCGGCTCTAATGTTATAGCTAGTAAGGCTTATGCCTTAGCTCCCCAAATTTTTGGAGGCCCCATTATTTAGAAATAAGTTTATATGATTTTAAAAGTGTTAAGAAAAATATTACTAGTAGAAGATAATAATCTAATTGATATACTTAATCGAATAAAAAAATTTGATTCTTTTCCAAATACTTATAGATTAATGTTAACGGCTCCTATAACAATTGCCTCATCGGAAAGAAGTTTTTTAAAATTAAAATGGATATAATCTTATTTAAGATCAATAATTTCTTTAAAAAATATTAATTAAGCGGGCTATATTATCAATTGAAAAGAAATTATTAGAAGAAATCAATTATAAAAAATTTATTAATAACTTTGCATCTCAAAAACGTAGAAAAATTGACTTTAAATAAAAATATATATTATAACCTTTTAAAAAAATTGTAGGCATCACATTAAATTTTGGTTTTAAGCTACATATGTGCTTGAGCCGCCCATGGAGATACGCATAAATCGATCTGATATCACCATTACGGAAAATAAAATGTACATCTGGACTTGAAAAAAAGGTTTTATTTCGCTTTCGTTTTGTGTTAATTTTCTTTATTTTGTAAGAGCGTTTAGTTTTGAAAATTTAAACATATTTTCGTGAATGTTTTTAAATGAAGTTTTCTGAGTTAAAACTTAAAAGATAAGAACTTATGTATAATGTTATCCGTTTTTTTTCGCTTTAAGCCGTTCTCCGAAAAGTATAAAACATTTCTGGTTGTTTCATCACTAATTAGTGAATACTGACACTAACCATTAGACCATCACAGAAATAGAGTTACTCCAACATTTAGACTTGACAGATACTCATAAATTTACAAAATTAAATATTAGACTTATTAGTTCATCACTTCCACTTTAACCTATCTTTGTAACCGAATCGTTATAACTAGTTTGCATCTTCAAATTTGGTCACTTAAGTTGGATTTACATTCGGGAAACAAAATTTGGATTTACATTCATTGCAAGTAAAATATAGTTATTCATTTGCTTGTTAATTAGGGTAGGTTTTGTTTTGACTTGAATTAATCTTCACCTAAACATCTCTTTAACACTAGACTTTAGTCTTCGTCGAGCCAAAGTTGAGTAAAGAAATTTCATTATTATCAGACGTGATCGTGTAAAATTAATGCTAGAGCAAAAGCGAACTCTTTCATTAACAAGATTTTAAAATTAAGATATCGTAAATCCAACAAAGGAGAAAATCCTTTGTACTAAAGTGAATTGTGATTCACCAGAGTACTATCAAACTTACTGTTTTATCACTTGTTTTTGTGATGTAATTTCCCACAATAATTTAAAGTAGATTACATCTAAGTGCTACTTTTAGAACTAGCACACAAAAATCCAAAGCTCATCCATATCTTGTTTTTTTACATTCTAATCTTATTCGTCAGTGTCATATCTGATATCTCAACTATTATAATATCTTAAACACAAAAATCCTAATAGATAAAGTAATTATTGCAAATTTGTCTTCATTAAGATTAGAAGATTTAATACTATAATGATAACGATGACTTTCTTATTTTCCTGTAGTATTGGCACGACTAACATGTATTTAATAACTAGCTTTGTACTACTCCTATCTATTTTATTCTACTACCATATATTTAACGCAAGCCTTTATCGTTTACTTACTCATAAGAGATTGGCGGATTACTAGAAATTTTTGTTGTTATTTTTTTGTATTCGCAATTCAACGACTCAATTATTTTGAATTTACGCCGTATAAATTCATTGGGTTACTTTAAATCAATTTTCAGAGCACAGTTCCGAAAGTATAATTCAAGGTGCCAATAATTCATCTTCAAAAATCATTCTATCTCTGTTTGCCTCCTCAAGTGAGCACTTTTCCCTACCATGAGTTTTCATCTCCGAGCTTGAAACCGGGACTCTTTTAAAGAGTGGAGCCGTGGAGGCCTACCATATCCCTTGGTGGTGATTGCTAGAAAGTTCATTTAAACATAAATGCAGCAAAGGTAAAAGAGACAACATATAATGCTCCACTACTAAGGTTTCATCTGTAAAGTTATATCAAATTCAAATATAACTACATTAAGATTAAGTTGCCTTTGACACAATTAAAAGGCATACATAGGAACTCAAGCACTCCTGCTACATGTTTGGATTAAATTTTACGCTTCTCCTGTCATTGCATTTAAACAAGTGAATATACTAAACTAGTACATCGTTTTCTGTGTATGACAATAAAATTTTGATGCTCAAATTGACCAAATTCTAGATTGGATTCACCTCACTAAGATCTTGACATCCAAACAGACTAAAGATTGACTTCTGCATTACAAGTACCAAAACATAAATTTGTGGAGAAATTTTACTTCGTGACTTGCACAAGTATGATTAGTCATGTGAGGCTATTAACTATTTAACAATTGGCAACTGCGGACCCCGCTTTCCACCTAGGCTCGATTAGTCATGTGAGGCTATTAGTTATTTGACAAATGGCAATTGCGGACCCACACTTTCCACCCCTCCTCCTTCCGTCACTCCTACATTTCCTCTCATTTCCTGATTCTCTCGTCTTCTCTAAGATATTTTATTTCTCACCATCTTTTCTATATTTTCTTTAACTTTTTTCACATACTTATAATCATAAAGAGAGTTATAAGAAAAGTGTTTGAAAATGATTTGGAATTTGAATCTTTGAATTCTCTACGAAGATAGCCTATAAAGGAAATAGCTAAAAGTCTTTTTATATTTTTTTCTGAAGGAATATCTGAAAAGCTTGAGAAAGTTAAGGAAAAGTAATATAGAATAAACGGTGAGAAATACTAAAAGCATTTATAAGAAAACCAATGTTACAACCTAGGTTTTCGTACATAAAAGTACATATTAAGTCAATTAATATAAGCTCAGAAATGAGATCATCTTTGAAAGTACATAAAGTAAGTTAATAATGTTACTTTGGAGGTTACAAATATTAAATATCATGGATAACAAGTACCAAGATGGTTAGAAGGTTTAGAAGCTAAACGAATTGCAGAAAATAAGTATCGTCGAAAGTCGACAAGTTGGGAATGTTATAACGTGTACTTTTGGGATGAGACTAGGGTGTTTACCATGATAAGGAGGTTATGTTATGATTTAATTTAGTCGTTTGATAGTGGTGTGTTATGTTTTGAAGTCAAGCGAGTTGTGGAACAAATTAGGTCACAAGTTACATTCATAATATGCTGAAATTAGGTCAAATGTAGCTGAGCTTTTCTCCCAATATACTTAAAATTAAGGAATGATCCATATGCCAAATTGAAGATCTATGAGTCTAGTTTTTAACGCATTAAACCGTTCATTAATACGACATCGGTGTAGAGAGATATTTGCATTTTTGCGAGACTGCGTAGGATGCCCCTATGGGACCTACTTGGTCGGTGGCCGACCTTTACATGTTTTTATCTCGTTTTTGGGATGAGCTTTGCTCATTTTTTGTCCTTCTTCCACCCTCACACTCTCCAAACCCTCCCAAACAGTTTCACAAAGGCTCCAAACAAATTCCAAAAAAATACACTATAATCCAACATCAAAGTTAGCCAAAGGTGAAGAATAACCTTTCTATGGTGTTGTGATGTGAATAAGGATTATGGTGAGCTAAGTTAAGCTTAGGGTTCGAAATATATCTACTTCCTAAGATATGTTTAACATCCGTTTGATGGTTTTTAAGGTTAAATACATGTTGGTTATGATGTTGGAGTGAAAGATTATAAGATAACACTTGAAAGGGGAAGAGATGTTGTTATCTTTTGTTGGGTTGTTTTAAGGCTATATATATATATATATATATATGTTGTTATGGCTGAAAAATGGGGAAAATAACTTAATTATGATATGGTTTCTGTTGTTATGCATTTCTATATGTTTATCAAGTGAATTGGTGAAAGAAACATATGAAACTTGAGATTAAAAGTGAAGATTTGCTTAAGTTTCTTCTATGGCGTTGTATTGCCATTGAGGGCTGTTGTAAGCTAAATGTAACTTGGATTTCGACTTGAAGATACAGTAGGAGGTATGTATGTTGTGTTCTTGCATGTGCTTAAGGTTATCTTAATCTTGATTAAGTTAAATGGATGGACTATACATGAACTAGTGAATAAAGTTGCTAATTGAGGATAGTTGGAGTTGTGGATTATTTTTTTTGTTATAAATATATGATATAAGGCTGAAATTATTGATGAATGACTTCATTATCATGTTAATGATACTGTTAAGTTAAAGTAAGAAGTCTATAAGGGGTGATATGGGGTATACGGGTTCCAATCGGAGCTTGCCGCTTGTCGTGAAGTAATTGTGACTTCTTGTTGTTATATGGTGTCATGCTATTGATATTTATATATTGCTGGATTTCTCTGGTTGTTGTTGTTGGTATATGGTAATGGAGGAGGCCCTTGTTACAAGGGATATGTTGTCGAATTTATGTCAACAAGCTAATAGCTTAAGTTACGAACTTAGCCTTTACTCGGCACTAATTTTGAATCTCCTTATGCTTTGGTAGATTGAGTTGAGTTATTTGTAGAGTTGCTTGGAAGGTATTAAGGACTCAACGAGGTTAAGGTATGTTAAGGCTATCCCTTCTTTTCTTTTGGCATGATCCATATGATACAACGAAACGAGCAAATACGCAATTTTCACAAATGACTCTATTCTTAGAAAATACAATAATAACAAATACACAATATCGTCTGTTCATGGGTATCAGAAAATACATAAGTTGATAAAGCTTATTTCATGATATTAATCGAAGGAAAATTAGTCTTATGACATTCTGAGAGATCTTATTGACTTACTTCATTATGCATTGCATATATTTATACATGTATATTGACCCATTACCAGATGGCATTATATACGCGTATATTATATATATATGGGGTATGGGGAAAGGTTATGACGTTATATACGCACCACCACCTGATCAGCTGGCATACGTTGATGATTTCACCCACTGAGGCCGAGATGATATGATGGGATGCCCTCAGAGGCTTGATGATGTTACGTACGCATATACCTATGCATGATATGACATTTATATGCATATGCATGACATTATAAATATTTCATGATTCACAGAGTTATTTAGACTTACAGGTTGAGTCTTTTACTCCATGTTTCTTTCATTTCTTTTATATATTGATTTTTAAGCCTTACATACTCGGTACATTATTCGTACTGACATCCCTTTTGCTGGGGAGGCTGCATTTCATGCCTGGAGGTCCTGATAGACAGTTGGGTAGACCTTCCCAGTACACAGAGTCAAACATCAGCTTGGTTGGTAAGCTCTACTTCCTCGGAGTTACCAGGTCTAGGCCTTGGAGTCCATTTTATATATACAGGTTTGATGGGTAGGTCGAGGCCCTATCCTGACCATAATACAGTTCACTTATCTCTAGAGGCTTGTACACGAGTTCTGTATATTTTGTATATCCATATTGTGGCCTTGCCAGCTGGTGCACATTTTAGTTTGGTATTGTTGGTTATAGACATTCATGGTGGCCTCGTTGGCCTTGATTGGTATTGTCAGCTCGCAGGTAGGCCTCGTTGGCCTAAGTTGAGAGTTACCCCTCCAGAGTTCACAGTTACAGAGTGGTACACTCTGGCCAAATATGGAACCGGGTGCCGGCCACGCCTACCCAGTTTTGGGGCATGACAAACTTGGTATCAGAGCAGTTCTATCCTAGGGAGTCTACAAGTCGTGTCTAGTAGAGCCTTGTTTATAGATATGTTGTGCACCACATTATATAAGCAGGAAGATACAAGGCATTTAGGAGTCTGTTACCCTTCTTTCAAATCTAAATCGTGTTATAGAATTGAGTCATAAGAGTTTGAGCCAGAACATACGTTTGCTAATGATACACAGATATTTGCAACTAGAAAGATTACAGCTAGCCAGAGGGTTAATATAGCAGAAAGTAAGGGCACTAGTAGAGGGAAAGTTTTTGAAACATGGCCCAGTTTGAGGCCCTATCAGATCGTGCATACTCGATGTGCAAATTTCTTGCTTAAGACCTTAGGATGGTAATATCTAACATGCCCCACGAATAGCAAGCCATGGGAGTATCAGAAGGTAAAAGTATAAGTTTCAATAGGTAACAGAAACAAGGTGAAGGAGGGTACGAGGTACCCAGTTAGTGCAGATTACCAGTATGTATAATTCAGGCATAAAAATATAAGCATTATGAGTTACCTTCAACAGTAACAGAGGTATGTACAATTGGCCACACCCATCTCAATTATGCTCCATGGGAGCTAACATATATAGTTTAAGAGAATGATGGGGTATCAGGATCAAGCTGGGGTTAAAGTAACCCAAAATGGTGAATGGATTGTTAGCGTTAGCTGACATTTCCGAAGGATATTGCAAACGTGGTAGTAGTTCTACTTATGAGACACCCAGATGGTGCACTCTAGAATAGTACAGTCAGATATGAATAATAGAACTTGCAGGAATTTCAAAAGATATGCAGTGGAATCCTAAAAGGGATAAATATTTACCTTAGTATGACTCCCGCCCCTAGTAAAAAGAGAATGTTAGGCGACCAGAAGAGCCAGTGAGATGGAGCAAGGGGAGCTAAAAGTAAAATAATGTTTTGTTGAAATTTTTAGTATAAGCTAATAGATAGAGATATTAGCAGGAGAATAAGAAGAGAGTAAATGAAGCATTACGAGTAAGATGTGATAAATGGGTGATAACGGTAAACCAAATTATGACAAGATGACAGAGTCTATAGTTAAGTGAAGGAAAAGACAAAAAGGGTCAGGCCTTGAGACTATAAAAGAGTATAAGCCATAAAGTTATATCCCCATTTCGAGAAATGAGTTGGTGATTCCAACGCGATTACCATAAGTCTAAGTAGACCCTTAGAGTAATGAAAATTAGCATGGGCTAGTGAACAAGATAAACTGACCATGAATTAGGGACCGAAGGATTTTATA